TATATAGCTAAACCCCCGTGTATCAGACATCGTACGTAGGCCTACTCATGTAGTGTGTTACTGACATATATAGCTAAACCCCCGTGTATCAGACATCGTACGTAGGCCTACTCATGTAGTATGTTACTGACATATATAGCTAAACCCCCGTGTATCAGACATCGTACGTAGGCCTACTCATGTAGTATGTTACTGACGTATATAGCTATAACCCCGTGTATCAGACATCGTACGTAGGCCTACTCATGTAGTATGTTACTGACATATATAGCTATAACCCCGTGTATCAGACATCGTACGTAGGCCTACTCATGTAGTATGTTACTGACATATATAGCTATAACCCCGTGTATCAGACATCGTACGTAGGCCTACTCATGTAGTATGTTACTGACGTATATAGCTATAACCCCGTGTATCAGACATCGTATATTCTCATGTAGTATGTTACTGACGCATATAGCTATAACCCTGTAGGATAAATTGTTTTTACCCGCGGTTAAATTATGTGTAACAAGGCCTCTGATTGGGTAAAAGGAGCTATAATTTTAACTGCGGTTAAATTTTTTCTACCGCGGTAAAAATAATTATTGCTGAGTACGATGGCCAACCGTCCCCGTGTCTTAGACATCGTACGTACTCATGTGCTGCGTCTGGCACGTGGCCACCCCCGGGTCCTCCTCTCGTAGTTCGTTCACCCCGAAGCCGGTGATCTTGACGACAAAGCGACTGTCACAGATGCACTTGGACGATCGCAGAGCTCCGTAACTCCTCAGGCACGACGAGTGGATGTACAGCATGCCCTGCGACACGACCACAACGCACACGTCCGTGCTATATGCACACACATCACATGTCAGGAGAAAGACAATAGCGGATTTGTTGGTGTTAGCAAGTAATTATAAACATAATATAGATTAAATGATAACATGATAATATCGAAATGTAAACCTAAAGAAAATATATGAGATAAATCAATAAAGCCCATAAATGTAAATATAAATGTAAAGGAAAATGTCAATGTCAATGTCAATGTAAATGTGATATAAAGATGAATGCGTATATATAAGCATAATTATAAATATAAATATAAATGCGTATATATAAGCATAAATATAAATATAAATGTAAACGTAAACATAAACATAAATATAAATATTAAATTTTTGTATGTTTGCAACCATACTTTTTGGCTATTTGTGAGTCTGGAAACATTTTCTTGAAGAGTTCATTTGCATGGTCTGCCGCCCTCAAAGGCACATTATGTTCAATTAAATAATCCGTAAATCTGACTTCTGCGTCAAAACAGACAATTCTCTGTCTGCTGCAAAGAAGCTTGATATATTGGGTGTAGATTCCACTGCACCCGCATAGCACTTGTACTTTTGAGAGCCTCTGGCAGTCACTCCTTCCTCCGTGCCCCACTGGAAAGTCTGTCTTGCATACCATTCAATAGCCATGATTAACACTGAATTGTACTGTAGGCTATACAGTTATACATACATTTAAAAAACTCATTTCTTATGCATTATGCATTATTTCTTTCTTTTTTCTTCTTCTTCCTTTCTTTTTTTTTCTCTTTTTTTGAATCTCAGGGGGGGATATTTGTACAGGCCATCCCCCCTTCTTCAAGAGCGGGGGGATGCATCCCCCCATCCCCCCGGGATTTACGCCCCTGCTTCCTAGACACAGTTTCTCGTGGTTATCGCGTGGATTAATTAAAAATGGCCATAGTGTGCACTCTATTATAGAGGTGTGAAACTTTGCAGAGGTTGCAAGGTACCACCTTAGGTCCTGAAGGGTTTCTGATATAATAATATTCTATATAAAGTTTCACAATTCTATCTATGAGAACACAATTCGTATGCTCATCCGCCGTACTGAAAATCCGTACAGATTCATTAGGCCTACATGTTGTATATAATAATAAAATATGTTTGTTATACGATGTAAACATACCTTGATGTTAACCTCTCCCCGTAGTTGCACGTCGAACTCAAATGCACCCAGAAGCTCGGCCGTTGCTGCGCTAATATGAATCATCAGAGCTGCGTAAATGGAACGTGAAATAACAGGGCATTGTAGCTGAAATTAACAACCAGTACTGCAACAGAGCAAGCAATAATCACATCTACTCTGTAAAGAAGCAATTATAGAAAAGGTGTGTAAACAGAAAATACAACAGATGTGTAAATATCAAACACAACATTTGGGTAAAAGATCAATACAGGAATTGGGCAGGCGATAAGTACAACAATTGAGTAAACAATAATTACAATAGTATTAGTATAACAAATAAGTCAACAACAAGAACAACAAATACAGCAGTTGGGCAAACAAAAGTTGAGCATCGCAACCTATGCAGGCGTATAAAAACGCTCGAGTAGAATAAAATCGCTAAAACCACGCGTTTGATAAATATTACCTTCCCAGACCCGTGGAAGAAGCTTCTATATTTGTGGCATGAACTGCATATATCACGCGAAAACTACAGATAAGTAATTACAGGCTATAGGACTTACTTTATCGCTATATTTATAGTTCAACGATGGCATCGAGTGATAAATTCGTCTAAAACACGTGGCGTAGTCGCAGTGAGTGTGCGTCTCATATAGAGACGACGCAAGCTTCTGTTTTAAACATAAAGGTAATGGAACTGGATTTGCTCCCCCCCCCCCGTGAAGACGGTCCAGGCCTTCGTTTCAAACATGACTAATGACTAGAGGCAGTAAACAGCGCATACACTGGTACGTACCTGCACCGGTCGATTCCATTCTCGAGGCGGTGTTCACCGTGTCGCCGAACAGACAGTAGCGCGGCATCTTCATGCCGACGACTCCGGCGACGCACGGGCCCGTGTGAATGCCGATACGTAGCAAGAGCTTCTCGTCAGGCCGGTGTCGCACCTGAGCCAACACGAAATGTCATCGCGTGCGTGTAAGTAAATAAATTAACAATTAGAACACACACACACACACACACACACACATACACTTATATAAAATCTTTATAGTAAAACGCACGAGATCAATTCACGTTGTTTTAATTAAATAACATTACTATGGTAAAGAGCCTGAGATCAAATCAAGTATACAATGATTATTTAAGATATGGTAATGGAGAATGCAGAACTTGGGGAGGAGGGTGGGAGAAGAAGGATGAGGAGGAGGGAGAGGAGGAAGAGGAGAAAAAAGAAGAGAGGAAGAGAAAACGCAGGCCTGGAGTAAAGAGGCTGGAAAAATAAGAAATAGGAATAGGTGAAAAAAGGGAACGGGATTATAGGAAGTAGCTAGGATCAAGAGCGTATAAAGAAGGAGAGCGTACAACAGTAAAATGCTGAAACCATGTTGCAGTATTAGTCGAATTAAGAAACTTTGCCCGTTTTATTTTTACGATTCTTTGCGGTATTATAGATCAGCTGTCCTACCTTGCTAATATAAAACAAACAGCTTGTCCCTACGATATGCCCCTACGCTGAGATAATGAGCGGTAAAAATCTGGTATTTTCGCCGAAAACCTCGAGATTACTGTTTACTGCGACCCTTTTTCGCTTTGTGGCCAGTGTTATTGCTTCCGGTCGCCGCTGTGGTAGCGCTGACTCATTACGTCAGAATGTTCTGGTACTACAGAGTTTACTACATCCAGCGTGAGGTGGGCACAGGTGGGGGTCATCACTATGGCAATCAATAACAGACGTCATTTGTTCCATTTGTCAATCATTGACGGAAAAACACGAGGTTTTCCGAAGTTATCTCAAAGCGAGAGAGTCGCAGTAAACAGTGATCTCGAGTCGGTTTTCGGCGAAAATACCAGATTTTCACCGCTTATTATCTCAGCGTAGGGGCATCGTAGGGACATGCGATTTGTTTTATATTAACAAGGTAGGACAGCTGATCAATAATACTGCAAAGAATCGTCAAAATAAAACGGGGAAAGTTTCATTCGACTAATGCTGCAACATGGTTTCAGCATTTTACCGTTGTACGTTCTCCTTCCTTATACGCTATTGATAGGATGTGATAGGTATGGCTAGAAACAGGAAGTGAGTGGGGTGTCTAGTTATCCAAATTTTCCTATATTATCTATGCTTTCGCATGCCCACTATGTCTCAGAAATTTATTATTTTTTATATTTAAAATGTAGAGCATTTATTGTTGAGTAGGTTAATTCGCTTCTTTAAATTGACTACGTCACGAAATTTCGATGGTAAAATTTGTAAAATTTGTGTTGCCATTTTTTTACATTAAAAGTAAGAGCTAACGGGATTAAACGTATCGTCAAATTCTTACCTGATAAGATTGTTTCTCAACTAGTTAAAGATGGCAAAAAACCTGGACGATTTGATATTATGTTCCTGACATTAATTGCTTGCTATGAGCTATGTATGAGTCACGAGTGTATGTTCACATCGAACAATAATTATAGTAAAATAGGAAGTATAATGCAGCAATTTAACCATAAAAAGTGAACAGAATTACTTATATTTTGTGAAAAAATGGAAATATTTTTTTTATTTTTACTATTTACGGTGACGTAATCACTTTAATGACTCTTGAGATACATCACTTGTTTTATATCGCCTATGTAAAAACACTACATTGAAACTGACTCGACTTGAAGAGAAAAAACGACACGCTGTTATCAGGAGTGAATATGATAATAGATTGGATAATAAGACAGGAGTGAATAATATTAATCTATTATTATTCACTCCTGTTGTTGTAATAAAAATAGTATACTGTATATTATTTGTTTTGGTATAATTACAGAATTTTGTCAATATTGAAAATTTCAATTAATTGCTCAAGAACGCCAAAACTCTTTCTCTCTCGAGTGTGCCAGCGCGTGTATTTGAGAGAGCGGAAGGTAAGCGAATGAAAAATCACATGAAAAATCGGATGAAACATCGCAATCACCTGTAAGCTGCCTTTCGCTCCGTACTCCATCGCAACGACTATGTTCGGCACGTCAATGCAGATTCCGATGAAGCGAGCAAGGTTAGGATGCTGCAGATCACGCAACTAGTAAATGCCAAAGCAGGACCACGTCACATCCACACGAAGTGCATTTAGTTTATTGGTTTTTCAAATTTCTGAATAAAACGCGAGCAATCAGGGACAATATATGTTCGAACTACTATCGGATAAAAACGTGTTTGGTGTAGTTATAAAAATTTAAAATATAAACATAATATATATATATATATCAGGAGTAGATAAAGGGATACATATATATACGTACTCCTGATATATATATATACGTTTAAAGGGATCGTTTACTCTAGGTTCTAGGGTTATTTTCAGTTAATTCAGGTTAAAATTACTCTACATAAAAAGTTTCATGGTTTAATCACCATTAGAAATATTATTAAAAAATGTTTTAAAACTAACGACTACAGTTTGATTACAACGACGGTGGCGCCACTCAAAGCGCACGATCTGATAAGTTGCGCAAAACCACTTTTCAGCCAAGGGCTACAGCCCGAGGGTGTTTCTTTTTTATTAATTTAAAAGCAAAAGGATTGTAATATCTTACTAACGACATATAGTTTCAGTTATATTATGGATAAATTTGTCCTAAAATGAACATCGTTTGGTTAAATAGCATTTAGGTATAAATATAATTGCACCTTTGTGATTAGCCCTTGGTCTGTAACGTGCAAAATAAATTGGCAAATGCGCAACTTTTTCAGGGTGGCAGCACGGTCGCGGGTGTCATGGGGCTGTTCAAATTTCGTAGCGTTGATGTGTAATTAATTATAACAATTAAATTAGGTATCTGGTAACAAATACGTGTTGGTATAGACGATTTGTTATACAGTAAGTACAGTTGTATACAGTAAAATCCTAAAGTCTACTATCCCTTTAATAATAATAAAATGAAATATATTTGAGCGATTTGACTTTTTACTGCGCGCCAAAAACGACTTATGTTCATCATTGTATTGACTCACTTATTTATGTTAAAGAATAAAAAGCACGTAACACGTTAACTACTTACATTTTTCATGTGAACGAAAAGGTTATGAGTAAGTTCAACAGGTCGCTGACGTAGGTGCTTTACTGCAACCACCAAGCCCTGCAATCAATAGTATTACTCGGATCATGGCGTGGATCATCAGGTGATTATGTTACTACATGCGTTTAACACGTTTGTAATTCTTTATTTTCGTTGAATCAATAAGCACGTACAACGACAATTACACGCATGAAGAGAGAGAGAGAGAGAGAGAGAGAGAGAGAGAGAGATCCATCCATCCATCCATCCATCCATTCATCCATCCATCCATCCATCCATCCATGGGAGATCACCTGTAAGGGTTTGCTGTCAGCACATATGCTTGTGAAGCCGACTATATCGCTGAAGTAAATCGTCACGCTTTCGTATGACTCCGGCTGCACACATTTGCCTTGCTTTAGCTGTTCTGCTACCGACCTAGATCAATCACCACACACAGGCACAGACACGCGCTGTAATTCAGCAGGTGCAAATATGCAAGAATCAATATTATCAACAACCTGATTAGTTTAGTTCGTCCACGGTCATCGACGCACGGCACGTGTGCGCACACATACAAGGTAAATATTTCCATACGGCGTTTTTTAGGTTTAACACGCCTAGAAAAGCGCCGTATATTACGAAAATATTTATCTTGTAGCAGCTTATATATAGGAGTAGCAGTTTATCTTGTAGGATGCTTATAGTGTCTTTCACGTACCATCGACGTTTACATATGAAGCTGCGCATATTTATTCGATTTTTTAGAAATAACTCGGCATCATTGCGGATGTATTCACTTCCCGTATACGGATCGTTAATGAAAGCATGCAGCTGTCACCTCTCCAGGGACATTTTACAGCTGATTTACACACGCATATATTTCCTGCCATCAGCGTAGAATATGTGTACCTTGCATCCTGTTTATATACATTATAGTCTCGGTACAGATCAGGTCGCATCGTACGTATATATACGCGCGGTGTACGTACACATAGACACGCACAGCGCAATACGGGTCACTCTTACCGTGGGAGAATTTCATTCAGCAAGTTGTCCACCTTCTTTTTTTCCTCAACCAATTGTCCCGTTCTTTGGTCAACGATATCTTCTAGATTCTTCGCATACAGTTCCATTCGGGTGAGCAGAGAGTCCATGATATTCTGTGTTCTAGACACCGCACGCAAATGAGACACATTTGAAGCGACGTTGTTATTAGTCGTTAGTATAGGAAATCAATCGATACAGTTCTGACGCAATAACTGTAAACTGGTTGCTCACTTGTGGTGTTTCCTAAGCGACAGGTGGATCTGACTGAAGGACGGCCGTTGGTCGGGATTGTCATGCCAACACGACGTCATCAAGTCGATGATGTCACTGCGGCCCGGGTCGTAGGGCACATGAGGGCGGAATTGCGGTGTATTTCCAGATTCCACTTTTTCTAAGATATCTGAAAAAGTATCCACACACATATACACATATATTTCCACACACACACACACACGCACGCGCACGCACACGCACACACGCGCATGCACGCATGTATACGCCCCCTTACACACACACACACACGCACACGCACACGCACGCACACGCACGCACGCACGCACGCACGCACGCGCGCACGCACACACACACGCGCGCGCGTACACACACACACACACACACACACACATACACACATACACACATATATATATATGTATATATAACTACCTGTTACTGACAGGTGCATTCTCTCGCTCTCGTAAGGTCCGGATCGTAGAGCTATTTCCTGCAGAATAATCGCGAAGGAGTAGATGTCGCCCTTCTGCGTGCCCGCAACAGGTGCCTGTGTCGCCCGTAAGATCTCAGGTGCGACATACAGACGCTCTGCCGAGAAACAAAACATGTCAATTTCCGCGGCAGTTCAGGTTCGCGCTCCGCAGGAAGTGGCGAGGAGGTAAATTCATCGAATATACAGGTAGTGATTAAACGCGCTGAAGCGCAGTTTACTGTCAGAGTGTGACACATAGTGTCTAGTAGTGTCTTAATGACGTATAGCTGTAAACGCGTGTATCAGGCATCGCACGTGCACATGTATAGTGTGTTACTGACGTATATAGCTATAAACGCGTGTATCAGACATCGTACGTACTCATGTAGTGTGTTACTGACATATATAGCTAAACCCCCGTGTATCAGACATCGTACGTAGGCCTACTATGTTTGTATGTTACTGACATATATAGCTAAACCCCCGTTGTATCAGACAATGGTACGTAGGCTACTCATGTAGTATGTTACTGACATATATAGCTAAACCCCGTGTATCAGACATCGTTACGTAGGACTATCATGTAGTATGTTTACTGACATATATAGCTAAACCAGTGTATCGTCATGCGTACGTAGGGCTACTCATGTAGTTATGTTACTGACATATATAGCTATAACCCCGTGTATCAGAATGTACGTAGTCCTACTCATGTAGTATGTTACTGACATATATAGCTAAACCCCGTGTATCAGACATTGTACGTAGGCCTACTCATGTAGTTATGTTTACTGACATTATAATATAGCTAACTCCGTGTATCAGATATCGTACGTAGGCTACTATTGTAGTATGGTTACTTGACATATAATATAAGCTAAACCCCCGTGTATCAGACATCGTACGTAGGCTACTCATTGTAGTGTGTTACATGACATATATAGCTAAACCCCGTGTATCAGACTATCGTACGTAGGCCTACTCATGAGTATGTTACTGAACGTATAATAGCTATAACCCCGTGTAATCAGACATCGTGAGTAGGCCTACTCATGTAGTAATGTTACTGACATATATAGCTAAATCCGTGTATCAGACATCGTACGTAGTTCTACTCATGTAGGATGTTACTGACATATTATGCTAAACCCGTGTATCAGATATCGTTACGTAGGCCTACTCATGTAGTATGTTACTTGAAATATATTAGCTAAACCCCCGTGTATCAGACATCGTAAGTAGGCCTACTCATGTAGTATGTTTACTGAAATATATAGCTAAACCCGTGTATCAGACATCGTATCGTGAGGCCTACTCATGTAGTTATGTTACTGACATATATTAGCTAAACCGTCGTGTATCAACATCGTACGTAGGCCTACTCATGTAGTATGTTACTGACATATATAGCTAAACCCCCGTGTATCAGACATCGTACGTAGGCCTACTCATGTAGTATGTTACTGACATATATAGCTAACCCCGGTGTATCAGAATCGCCGTACGTAGCCTACTCATGTAGTATGTTACTGACATATATAGCTAAACCCCGTGTATCAGACATCGTACGTGTCTACTCATTGTAGTATGTTACTGACATATATAGCTAAACCCCGGTATCAGACATCGTACGTAGGCCTACTCATGTAGTATGTACTGTGACTATAATATAGCTAAACTACCGTGCCTTATCAGCTATTTCGTACGTAGGCCTACTCATGTAGTATGTTACTGACATATAATATAGCTAAACTCCCGTGTATCAGACATCGTACGTAGGCCTACTCATGTAGTATGTTACTGACATATATAGCTAAACCCCGTGTATAGACATCGTACGTAGCCTACTCATGTAGTATGGTTACTGACATATAAGTACTAAACCCCCGTGTATCAGACATCGTACGTAGGCTACTCATGTAGTATTGTTACTGCAGTATATAGCTATAACCCGTGTATCAGAATCGTACGTAGCCTACTATGTAGTAATGTTACTGACATATATAGCTAAACCCGGTTTTCGTTTTTTTTTTTTTTTTCTATCAGACATGTACGTAGTCTATCATGTTGATCGTTACTGACTATATAGATAACCCGTGAGTCAATGTACGTAGGCCTACTCATGTAGTATGTGACTGACATATATAGCTAAAACTCCCGTGTATCAGACATCGTACGTAAGTCCTACTCATGTATAGTTTACTGAAATATATAGCTAAACCCCGTGTATCAGACATCGTTACGTAGGCTCTACATTGTAGTATGTTACTGACATATATAGCTAAACCCCGTGTATCAGACATCGTACGTAGGCCTACTCATGTAGTATGTTACTCGACATATATAGCTAAACCCCCGTGTATCAGACATCGTACGTAGCCTACTCATGTGTAGTTACTGACATATATAGCTAAACCCCCGTGTATCAGACATCGTACGTAGGCCTACTCATGTAGTATGTTACTGACGTATATAGCTATAACCCCGTGTATCAGACATCGCTACGTAGGCTACTGATGTAGATGTTACTGACTATATTAGCTAAACCCCGTGTATCAGGACATCGTTCTAGGCTACTCATGTGGTATGTTACTGACATATATAGCTAAAACCCGTGTATCAGACATAGTACGTAGGCTACTCATGTAGTATGTTACTGACATATATAGCTATAACCCGTGTATCAGAGATCGTACGTGTAGGCTACTCATGTAGTATATTACTGACGTATATAGCACTATACCCGTGTATCAGACATCGTGTTACGTAGGACCTACTCATGTAGATATGTTACTGACATATATAGCTAAACCCGGTGTATCAGATATCGTACGTAGGCCTACTCATGTAGTATGTTTAACTGACATATATCAGCTATAACCCCGTGTATCAGACATCGTACGTAGTCTACTCATGTGAGTATGTTTTCTGACGTATATAGCTATAACCCGTGTATCAGACATCGTACGTAGGCTACTCATGTAGGTATTTTACTGACATATATAGCTATAACCCCGGTATCAGACATCGTACGTAGGCCTACTCATGTAGTATGTTACTGACGTATATAGCTATAACCCCGTGTATCAGACATCGTACGTAGGCCTACTCATTGTAGTATGTTTCTGACATATATAGCTATAATACGTGTATCAGACATCGTACGTAGGCGTACTCATGTAGTACTGTTACTACGTATATAGCTATAAACCCCGTGATTCAGACATCGTTATATTCTCATGTAGTATTTTACTGACGCTATATAGCTATAACCCTGTTAGGATAAATTGTTTTTACCCGCGGTTAAATTATGTGTACAAGGCCTCTGATTGAGGTAAAAGGAGCTATAATTTTAACTGCGGTAAATTTTTTTTCTACCGCGGTAAAAATAATTATTGCCTGAGTACGATGGCCAACCGTCCCCGTGTCTTAGACATCGTACGTACTATGTGCTGCGTCTGGCACGTGGCCACCCGGATCCTCCTCTCGTATTCGTTCACCCCGAAGACGGTGATCTTGACGACAAAAGCGACTGTCACAGATGCACTTGGACGATCGTCACAGAGCCTCGTAACTCCTCAGGCACGACGAGTGATGTACAGCATGCCCTGCGACAAGACCACAACGCACGAGTCCGTGCTATATGCACACACATCACATGTCAGGAGAAAGACAATAGGCCGATTTGTTGGGTGTTAGCAGGTAATTATAAACATAATATAGATTAATGATAACATGATAATATCGAAATGTTAAACCTAAAGAAAATATTATGGATAAATCAATAAAGCCCCATAAATGTAAATATAATGTAAAGAAAATGCTCAATGTCAATGTCAATGTAAATGTGATATAAGATGAATGCGTATATATAAGCATAATTATAAATATAAATATAAATGCGTATATATAAGCATAAATATAAATATAAATGTAAACGTAAACATAAACATAAATATAAATATTAATATCAATATCAATATCAATATCAATATAAACATAAAAATAAATATAAATATAGATGTAAAATTATATAGACTAAGAGACATTTGTTATTAATTTACTAACAACTAAGTAACTACTTTGTTATTATTACAGTTCTGCTCCTATCAGCTTACGACGAATAGATTGGCAGCTTAGCGCTGTCACGTTTTAGCTAATTAAACCCGAGGCATCCCCGCACGCACTCCCGCACCGCGTTCATTACGCTCGCATCAGTACAATCATTAATAATGCGCTAGACACGTATCAGGGACGATAGCGACGAATGGCCTCTAAATGCCAACAGTGTTTGCGCATTCGTTAATGAAGACATCGTGGATGGTTGTAGGTCTCGATCTATCGGCGTGTGTGGGTCACGCGGACTCGCACGCAATGTCGCGCACGCAATGTAGCGCACGCAATGACACTCACGTTGACGATGTCGTTGACAATCGACATGCAAAACTGTTCGTCGAGGTGAATGCAGTCGTTCCCCAGTATGTCCTGCAACGCGCGCAAGTGCATAGGACTATAATGAAACATGTAAATACGCTTCGGTAGCATTATACTCACTCCTCACGCATATATGGTTATATTCAACACACACACACACACACACACATACACATACACACACACACACACACACACACACACACACACACACACACACACACACGCGCACACACACACACACACACAACACACACACACACACACACTTATATAAAATCTTTAATAGTAAAACGCACGAGATCAATTCACGTTGTTTTAATTTAAATACAATTACTATGGTAAAGAGCCTGAGATCAAATCAAGTGTATACAATGATTATTTAAGATATGGTAATGTGGAGAATGCAGAACTTGGGGAGGAGGTGGGAGAAGAAGGATGAGGAGGAGGAGAGGAGGAAGAGGAGAAAAAAGAAGAGAGGAGAGAAAAACGCAGGCTGGAGTAAAGAGCTGGAAAAATAAGAAAATAGAATAGGTGAAAAAGGGAAGGGATTATAGGAAGTAGCTAGGATCAAGAGCGTATAAAGAAGGAGAGCTAAACAGTAAAATGCTGAAACCATGTTGCAGTATTAGTCGAATTAAGAAACTTTGCCCGTTTTATTTTTACGATTCTTTTGCGGTATTATAGATCAGCTGTCGCTACCTTGCTAATATAAAACAAACAGCTTGTCCTACGATATGCCCTACGCTGAGATAATGAGCGTAAAAATCTGGTATTTTCGCACGAAACCTCCGAGATTAACTGTTTACTGCGACCCTTTTTCGCTTTGTGGCAGTGTTATTGCTTCGGTCGCCGCTGTGGTAGCGCTGACTCATTCGTCAGAATGTTCTGGTACTACAGAGTTTACTACATCCAGCGTGAGGTGGGCACAGGTGGGGGTCATCACTATGGCAATCAATAACAGACGTCATTTGTTCCATTTGTAATCATTGACGGAAAAACACGAGGTTTTCCGAAGTTATCTCAAAGCGAGAGAGTCGCAGTAAACAGTGATCTCGAGTCGGTTTTCGGCGAAAATACCAGATTTTCACCGCTTATTATCTCAGCGTAGGGGCATCGTAGGGACATGCGATTTGTTTTATATTAACAAGGTAGGACAGCTGATAATAATACTGCAAAGAATCGTCAAAATAAAACGGGGAAAGTTCATTCGACTAATGCTGCAACATGGTTTCAGCATTTTACCGTTGTACGTTCTCCTTCCTTATACGCTATTGATAGGATGTGATAAGTATGGTAGAAACAGGAAGTGAGTGGGGTGTCTAGTTATCCAAATTTTCCTATATTATCTATGCTTTCGCATGGCCACTATGTCTCAGAAATTTATTTATTTTTTATATTTAAAATGTAGAGCATTTATTGTTGAGTGGTAATTCGCTTCTTTAAATTGACTACGTCACGAAATTTCGGATGGTAAATTTGTAAATTGTGTGGCATTTTTTTACATTAAAGTAAGAGCCTAACGGATTAAACGTATCGTCAAATTCTTACCATGATAAGATGTTTCTCAACTAGTTAAAGATGGCAAAAAACCTGGACGATTTGATATTATGTTCCTGACATTAATTGCTTGCTATGAGCTATGTATGAAGTCACGAGTGTATGTTCACATCGAACAATAATTATAGTAAAATTAGGAAGTATAATGCTGCAATTTAACCATAAAAAGTGAGCAGATTACTATATTTTTGTGAAAAAATGGAAATATTTTATTTATTTTTTACTATTTACGGTGACGTAATCACTTTAATGACTCTTGAGATACATCACTTGTTTTATATCGCCTATGTAAAAACACTACATTGAAACTGACTCGACTTGAAGAGAAAAAACGACACGCTGTTATCAGGAGTGAATATGATAATAGATTGGATAATAAGACAGGAGTGAATAATATTAATCTATTATTATTCACTCCTGTTGTTGTAATAAAAATAGTACACTGTATATTATTTGTTTTGGTATAATTACAGAATTTTGTCAATATTGAAAATTTCAATTAATTGCTCAAGAACGCCAAAACTCTTTCTCTCTCGAGCTGTGCCAGCGCGTGTATTTGAGAGAGCGGAAGGTAAGCGAATGAAAATCACATGAAAAATCGGATGAAACATCGCAATCACCTGTAAAGCTGCCTTTCGCTCCGTACTCCATCGCAACGACTATGTTCGGCACGTCAGAATGCAGATTCGCGATGAAGCGACAAGGTTAGGATGCTGCAGATCACGCAACTAGTAAATGCCAAAGCAGGACCACGTCACATCCACACGAAGTGCATTTAGTTTATTGGTTTTTCAAATTTCTGATAAAACGCGAGCAATCAGGGACAATATATGTTCGAACTACTATCGGATAAAAAGCGTGTTTGGTGTAGTTATAAAAATTTAAAATATAAACATAATAGTATATATATATATCAGGAGTAGATAAAGGGATACATATATATACGTACTCCTGATATATATATAATACGTTTAAAGGGATCGTTTACTCTAGGTTCTAGGTTTTTTCAGTTAATTCAGGTTAAAATTACTCTACATAAAAAGTTTCATGGTTTAATCACCATTAGAAATATTATTAAAAAATGTTTTAAAACTAACGACTACAGTTTGATTACAACGACGGTGGCGCCACTCAAAGCGCACGATATGCATAAGTTGCGCAAAACCACTTTTCAGCCAAGGGATACAGCCGAGGGGGTTTCTTTTTTATTAATTTAAAAGCAAAAGGATTGTAATATCTTACTAACGACATATAGTTTCAGTTATATTATGGATAAATTTGTCCTAAAATGAACATCGTTTGGTTAAATAGCATTTAGGTATAATATAAATTGCACCTTTGTGATTAGCCCTTGGTCTGTAACGTGCAAAATAAATTGGCAAATGCGCAACTTTTTCAGGGTGGCAGCACGGTCGCGGCGTGTCATGGGGCTGTTCAAAATTTCGTAGCGTTGATGTGTAATTAATTATAACAATTAAATTAGGTATCTGGTAACAAATACGTGTTGGTATAGACGATTTGTTATATCAGTAAGTACAGTTGTATGCAGTAAAATCCTAAAGTCTACTATCCCTTTAATAATAATAAAATGAAATTATTTGAGCGATTTGACTTTTTACTGCGCGCCAAAAACGACTTATGTTCATCATTGTATTGACTCACTTATTTATGTTAAAGAATAAAAAGCACGTAACACGTTAACTACTTACATTTTCATGTGAACGAAAAGGTTATGAGTAAGTTCAACAGGTCGCTGACGTAGGTGCTTTACTGCAACCACCAAGCCCTGCAATCAATAGTATTACTCGGATCATGGCGTGGATCATCAGGTGATTATGTTACTACATGCGTTTAACACGTTTGTAATTCTTTATTTTCGTTGAATCAATAAGCACGTACAACGACAATTACACGCATGAAGAGAAGAGAGAGAGAGAGAGAGAGGAGAGAGAGAGAGAGAGGGAAAGACATAGAGAGAGAGAGAGAGAGAGAGAGAGAGAGAGAGAGAGAGAGAGAGAGAGAGAGGGAAAGACATAGAGAGAGAGAGAGAGAGAGAGAGAGAGAGAGAGAGAGGGGGGGGAAAGACATAGAGAGAGAGAGAGAGAGAGAGAGAGAAGAGAGAGAGAAGAGAGAGAGAGAGAGAAGAGAGAGGAGAGAGAGAGAGAGAGAGAGAGAGAGAGAGAGAGAGAGAGAGGTGGAAAAGGCCACGAGTGAGGAAACGAGAAAAGGGGAGATAGGTAGATATATAGAGATAACGAGTGAGAGACAGAAAGGGGGAAGGGAGAGAGCAGGCGAATGATATAAAGAAAGAGAGATCTATCGAAAAGGTTTCTTTACACACACACACACACACAACACACAACACACACACACACACACACACACACACACACACACACACACACACACACACAATACACACATATACAAACGCACATACAAACAAGCACACACACACACACACACACACACACACACACACACACACACACACACACACACACAACACACACACACACACACACACATACACAACCACACACACACACACAAACACACACACACACACGCACACACACCACACACTCTCTTCTCTCTCTCTCTCTCTCTCTCTTCTCTCTCTCTGGGGAAGGGCTGCATAACGATATAGGCATATTTGTGCGTCTAGATGTTTGTTGTTATTGCACCAGTCGAGGTGACGACGAGACGCGTAGATTGGTTGGTTTTAGCATCTTTGAATGCAGAGATGTCGTTGATTAGCACAACGTTAAAAGCTAGATGTCTTCGTGGAAGAATACATTACATGAACCTGACAGAATACATTACATGTTCACCTTGTAATTTGCTACGTTGGCAAACACCTGCTGCTGCGAAACTGTGGATGAATATGAGCTCTGAAAATTATAGAAAATGTATAAATTAAAATATTTGCCGTTTAGATTCCACAGAGAAATCTAGCAGCGTGTCTAAATGTCGACCACTCCCTGTTCTAAATAGAACTTCTAATAGCAATCCTCCCTTACACACTGCTCAAAATGGTTGCTGGAAGTCTAGCCACGGAATAAGCCAGATACTACGGCTGCCGCGTTATATGGTCGCGCCTTCCATCAGTAATTCCCAATATAATTATAATATTCATATAATATAATATTTATAATATAATTATAATATTCCCAATAATCCAAATAATCCAATAATCTCCAAGCTTCACCTTACTGCTACAGCGATTCCACTGAAATTCATGCATTTGCATTCTCAGCAGAAGGTGCACGCTAGCTCACAGGTGAAACATGTGAACGTCATACGACGTACAAGCTTCGCATATCATCTGAGTATAAGCATATCATAAATTATCACAGCACTAGCGCAATCGGAGCAGTGCAGTGCAGAGTGCATCAGCATCACAACATTGTGTATACCTGCGAAGGAAAACACAAAAGAGCTCATGGTTCTTTGCCAATTTCAATCCGTTAAAGGCAATGAGACAATGATGATGAGAGATGAGTGCGTCGACCTTATAAAGAATGGTGCAGTGGATTTGCGTCCTAACGGGGATGGCTCTCTTGGCCTCAGGCTTCTGCTTCACAATTGAGAAAAGTACACGTTTGCTTATATCGTGCTGAAGGTACATAAACCTCGTACGGGTAGGCACCCTGAGGTTTCCATCAGTCTATATGATAGACGGGGAGGTCATACGTTTTTTGTGTTTTTTCCCCTTACCTTGGATAGCCTGCCGATGCTTGTCAAGCTGCCAATTCCGAATCTGCTTCGTTGAAACTTCAATTCCTCCCACTGAATTCGCCACGACATGTTCAGTAGCTCTATCTGAAGTTGTTTCCGTCTGTCAACGTACCGCCATCGGGGAATCATACGCAATTACTAGTCATAAATTATTTTACGTATTCAGCAAACGCACTAGCTGTAATATAAATAATTATTGAGCTACTAATTGCATACTGAGTAGGTTTCGCAAAATAGGCCTACTTATATTTTTATTCGGTGAGACAGCCCTATGAACAATGAACGGTAAGTTTTATCAAGTACTAGCACCATATACTGTATGTGTTATTGGCTCTTGATGTTATAGCATTATTATATAATATTACATCTTACGCGTACCACCATTCCACTCAGGAGATTAAGGAAAGAATTTTCGAAACGAAATGCTACTTAACAGGTGAAAATCGCGAAGCAGCTTAATTACATAATTACGAAACTTTGCATTCGTGCGTGGAAAATAAATTTAGCACAACATCCGCCCTTCCCTCCAAAGGCACACGAGCAACATAATTATAATCACCACAATTTATCACCAACAGCTACCGCTTACACAATCTTGTATAAGTTTTGGAATGTTTTAATAAGAACTATATAACGCTATACACTAATACTTATATTTGCATATGTAGTATGCAGCAGAAATTTCTGCCATGCTTAAACTGAGACATGCGTAACCCCAATAATGATAATTAATATGAATAACATAAATAAAATAACAATAAATGATAACTACGTAGGCCTACCTGTAGAGTAGATAGGTGACTATAGCGGCGACAGCAAGGCAGGCAACAGTCCCAAGGCTGACATAGATACTGGTAGATATCTCCTCTGTATAAATTAACCGTAATAAAAATTTAGAGTTACAGATAAAACAAAAACAATTCACCAGAACTGCATTTCTTCTTTTATATTTGCAAACGTTCATTATCCGTATACGTAGTAGATATGGAATGGTGAACATACACCTATTCCGCCATAATATTCCATTGCGTTCTCAGAACCATTCCAAGAGCTAGAATTCCAGTTATTCTAAATACCATAATAATCCACGTTATCACTCATTTCCGGGATCAATGCACGGCAATCTATGCACGGTAATCAATGCAAGATAATCAGTAAATTAGTAGAGTCGTTAGTGTGCTTCCGTATTCCTAATCACAACGCGTATAATCAAGCATGGCGTGGTGATGTTTACGCTGTCTCTATAACTACCGCGTATACGTATCAATACTCACAACTAAATGCGTTAATCTCTATGCTAAGTGCAACGCTAGTAAGATGGCGATAATTTCTAACAGCGATTCTCTGCGTGTATCAAAATATGCTATCAGACCTGATTAGGAGGTAAATGTCAACCGTGCTCTACTAGTTGCGTTGAACAATAGCGCAGTCGCATTCGTTCGCACAATCGGGCATATGCAGGAAACGAAATCAACTCTAGGCGGAAATTGTTTGCAGAAATTGTACGATGTCTTGATTATATCATAGAAAGTCCTCCATAGAAGACGGTAGCGGTCAACAACTAATGCTTGCGGCCCTTTGGCTCTAGTCTAGTTACCCTTGACGCTGATACCACAAAATATGCAACATATATATATATATATATATATACATATATATGTGTGCGTGTGTGTGTGTGTATAGAGGGAAATAGACAAACGTAGAGATAGATGGATAGATATAAATCAAAATAGATAGATAATATAGAGATAGATAGATAGATAGATAGATAGACAGGTCTTATACAAATTCGTGTCTTGCTGATATATCTTACCGACGGGATCGCACGCCGGGTTATCGTTCGTGAAACCGCAAAACGGGATGTCCGGTGGAGGGCCTTGTCTTCCGGCGGGCCAACGGACATCCTGTACCTCGTTGTAAGTCGGCGACCAGCCGTAGTAGTTAGCGACAACCTAAAGTAACCGTGGTATTGATACGAGCGTAAAATTGTATTAAATAAAATCCGTTTTCTGTTGTCTCGTCTGCAATAATACTTTAGCGCGGTGCAAAACACAGTAGTATAATTATAAGCAACATCCTATAGCGTAAACACAGCGCTAGAATAATATAATTTTACTGGTTCAGTAGCGTCATGAAACTCTAGAGCAAGAGGTTGTCACGTAAGAGTCGTTTTCTGTTGCCTCGATCATATTTATATGTTGGCGGCAAACAAGTCATACCAGTTAGCAACAAGTTAACAAAACAGGACGTTGCTGAGTTACGCAGATATTCTAGAGTAAACAGTTTTAATTTGTTGCCATTATGTTAGCGGAGATCCAAACACGTACAGTAGTAACCAGCTAACAAGGTCACAGCATGAAAAAATGATAGCGTATAATAATCTATCATAAATGTATATTTAACATATTAGACTACGTTTTTTTACGATACTACGATATAGTACGATATATAACAATCCTACCATTAACTCGATAGGAAGAGGTTCGCTTTCCGGTTTCTCGACTGTGATTTGTCAGTGATTAAGTTAGTGGTAAACCAAACATTGTTTTATGACTATCACGTGTAGTTAGTCCGACCCTGATTTCTACTTTTTAGTCTATAACAGTGATTCTGCACTTTAGTGTAACGCTTGTTTCTTGTAATAGCAAATAACCAATTTGTTTGAGAAATTTGCTACATTGCGTATTTTCTACGTTCCCTTCCGTTGGGCACAATTAACAGTCTGCATGCAGGCGATGACGTATTTATTAGGAATGCTTACTTCAAACTCTCCCGTATCCGGATTGAGATCCAGAATAGAGAAATCCGTGTCCCTATCACCGTTGTCATCGATATAAACTTCACCTGTAATGCCTAGTCATAAAATAAATTGTTAATTCTTCGTTAATTAGCATTAATCAACCGGGTCACGGAGGTTTTCACATTCAGGTAACATTCGGGACACATTGCGTCGATTGGCAACGTCGGAATGTGAGATAACTACGCACTTTTAGATTCTGACCCTAACCTTATCTTTAACCATAACCCAAACCCTAACCCTAAGCCTAACCCTAACCCTAACCCTAACCCTAACACTAACCCTAACCCTAACCCTAACCCTAACCCTAACCCTAACACTAACCCTAAACCATAACCCTAACCCTAGTCCCTAACGCTAACCCTAACCCTAACCCTAACCATAAGCCTAAGCCTGACCCTAAACCCTAATCCCAGCCCTAAACCTAAACCTAACCCTAACCCTAATCCTAACCCTAAACCTAATCCTAACATTAACTCTAACCTTGGTCCTTACCCTAACCCTATTGTTGCTAGGTCGGTCTAGTCACACCCGTTTATACGTGCCTCACACACATGTACGCTAAATTGTCGAACACGTGCATCACTTCGCCACTAAAGGCCCCCCCACACGATGCGTCATCGGCGGGCGCCAACGGCGCTGCGCCGAATGCGCACCGTGTGCGGGCTGGCGTGCGCAAAATATCTATCGTGTTTGATTTTTCTGGCCCCGAATGCGCACCGGGTGCGGGTTGGTTTGCGTGCGATGGCGCGCCGAATGCGCACCGTGTGCGTTAGCCTTAAGCATCGTTTTAGAACGTTTCTCATCGTAGTCCTGCTACGATTAAGCTACCTGCCAGTCACTCCGGACACACATGTCACTTGCAGCGTGAGCACGAAATAATCGTATCGATGTTTCCATCTAAAACATGCAGTGATGTGGGCCATGTTTACACATGATTTATATGCACTATGCGTAAACTATAGGTTTTGATGCAATCATACATTCATGCGGTCAATAATGCTGAAGGGGTCGTTGTCGTAAATGTAGTACCCGAGGTGTCGGCGAGTATGTCGCCTACGCCTACTCCCTAACCCTAACCCTAACTCTAAACCCTAACCCTAACCATATCAGATAGTTACCTCGGGTACATATGTGTACTACCCTATACGACAACGACCCTTCGTGCGTCAATAATCGTGCCACGCACACTTACACGCACACGCACACACACACACACACACACACACACACACACACACACACACACACACACACACACACACACACACAGTTCCCACGCGATCCAAGTTGCAATGGCGACATGCGACAGAACGAGCGAAAAAGACGGAACAACGAACAAAATGCCGTAAAGAAGTTGCATTGGCATTGGCATCGTACGTTAATTTCTTGCCTACCTTGAAATTTCCGGTCCCACATGCGTCGCGTCACATTGAAGCCATCTCGAATGTCTAGCCCAGCCTCCAAGCTCTCGTTAAGTGCCATTCCGTACAGTATGACGGCGTCGTGGAATGCACCGACAAAGTAATTCACCTGCGTGGCAAGCACATGTGTGTTGTTGCGTAATTTGTTGTGTTTGTTGCGTAAGGTGATATTTGTTGTGTATGTTGTTGCGTGGTAATTTGTTGTGTGTGTTGTTGCGTAATTTGTTGCGTATTTGTTGCGTAAGGTGATATTTGTTGTGTGTTGTTGCGTGGTAATTTGTTGTGTGTGTTGTTGCGTAATTTCTTGCGTATTTGTTGCGTAAGGTGATATTTGTTGCGCGTGGCATGTATGGTGTACATCAAATTTCACTGAGCTTCACGTTGCTCTGACTTTACGCAGTGTAGGTCGATTCGGTTGCGCTAGGTTTTTTCGGAGCGTTGCAAGTTAGTGATGCTGGATCATCATGAAAAGATTAGTTATTGGAATATCATTAACAAAGCGTGAAAACCGTTAAGTTCTAGAATCTTTACATAATTACCTACTTCATCATTTACCAAATTATATCGATCATGAACGGTAATTCGTCGTCTTACCTGCTTATACATTACCCCATACTTACCGGTTACCGGTTTCTTATTATTACTTTGAATGCTTTTAATGTTTAAATGGTAATAATATAACGTACGCGCGCCCAATCACACACGCGCATACGCACACAAAGACATATCCGCGTACACAAGCGCACACACTAGAACACCAAAATGTTCTGCTTGCATCTATGACAAATACGACATACGCATATACGCTCTCCTATGACACTGTTTGTCATAGTAGGGTCTTCCTATTCTTCCTATGACAAATATTGGCGAGTCAACTTCGTTCCGCTTTACAGCTGAAATTCACTGCTTGCGTTCACAATATCGCTCCTAAACGCCTATGATGCGCACAACACATACAACAATATTTGTCATAGGAAGAATTTTCCTATGACAAATAGTGTCATAGGAGAGCGTATATGCGTATGTCGTATTTGTCATAGATGCAAGCAGAACATTTTGGTGTTCTAGTGTGTGCGCTTGTGTACGCGGATATGTCTTTGTGTGCGTATGCGCGTGTGTGATTGGGCGCGCGTACGTTATATTATTAACATTAAAACATTAAAAGCATTCAAAGTAATAATGCTAGCAGAACAGGCTGCACACACGCACGCGCGCACGCGCACACAGACAAGCGCGCGCTCGCACCCACCCACCCGCACACGCGCGCACAAATGCACACACACACACACACACACGCACGCACGCACGCACACACACACACACACACACACACACACAC